CCAATACATACCATATCGGAATAGCAGCCACTTCATCTTGTGACCCGCTTGATGTGCTCCACATGCCCCACTGTGTACATTGGATAGTGCTATGTAAGCCTCACTTTCCCCTAAACATTTTAATAAAATTCCCTCTGGGGTTTTCTTAAACAATTTGTTGCCTATTAACACATAACTCAAGGCTCTATATTTTATTTTTCTTTTTGTATCTACTGTTGGATCCTTCAAATAGTTTATTATTGGACTCCTCCAATCCGTATCTGCTAAACTATCTATGGCTAAAACCTCAAAATATGCATCATTCATATAACCTAGCCTTGAATTCTTTAAGTCTGTCGGAGAAAGTTTAGTTGCTAGTACCTTACCACGTACTTTGATTAGGCCTTCTAGTCTTTCCTTCGATACTTTATATCCTGAAGCTATCTGAGCCAGATCATTTGCTTCCTGATTCTTTAGTCTGGGGATATGCTTGATGTCTACGTATTCGAATTTTCGAAGGAGCCTATTCGCCATCAAAAAGTAGAACATCAAGTTTTCTTTTATGCACTTGTATTCTTTGGTAATTTGCTTGATTACTAACTCAGAATCTCCCATTATTTCGACTCTAGTTGTCCCTAATTCCAGTAAAGTCTCAAGTCCTGCTATGAGTGCTTCATATTCTGCTTCATTGTTTGAGCAACGAGGACCAGTTATCTGATACTTGAGCTTTGTTGGAATTTGATCTGGAGAAATAATTAAGATTCCAATCCCAGTTCCATTTTTATGTACAGAGCCATAAAAATTTGCATTTTAAACCTCCATTTTTCCATATTCTGACCTTGAACTTCAAATTCAAAATCTACTCGTGCGTTTTCACTTCTAATCAATCACAAAGCTTCCATACCTATTTAGAACTCATCCACACCCCTATTTCATAATTGTAACTCCATTTTCCTCATCTTCCAAACTAAAAAACAATCACCTGCAACTTGATCTCTCTAGGAAAATCCAGGCACTTTCAGCACAAAGTAAGAGTTGCATTAGCTTCCTAGGAGTTCAGTGAAGCTATCCAGATCATCACAACACCTCCAGGAGTGCTCAAACTCCAAACACGATTTCCAGTTTTGAGGTATGTTTTCTCAACTTTGAACTCTCTATACAAGCATCATTAATAGTTACTTTGTGTTTGAAAAATGTAGACATCATTGCCATGAAGCTAACCATGCCTTTAGTTTTCATTTATGTTGTCTGAGTGATGCGAATTTTGAAGTTGAACATTCTGAAAAAAAATTAGGTTTTATTTGGTACCAAACAAAATTCATGTTCATCTTTGATCTATAACTTTAGTTATTTACATAGTTGACTTCATGTTGAAAAATGGAACAACTTTCATGTTTACAATTTTGAAAATGGTTGAGAAATAAAGAAGTTACAGTTTTGGTCATGGCAATGTTCATCTCTGTGCGTGCAAGGTTGAAGATGAAGCCATTTCAAACATTCAGAAATAAGTTTATTTTAAGTTTATTACAATATGTATTATGACCTGATGAAACAGCCTCCCCAGTGGTAGAAGAAGCGTGCGTAAGATATTAGTGTTTAGGGACTTGGGTTCGAGCCCCAATGGTACCCTTTTGTTTTTTTCACATTGTTTTCTTGCAGATTCCATACATGTGAGCATAGCGCGCGTATTATACATCATCATGACCAGACCATCAGATCACTATGCCAGCACATCCAACATCTCAAGTGTGCTTGTCCACCATGAGCCATCAAGAGCTAACCACATGGAATCATACAGCGCCCGGGCCTTGCTAATCTGGGCTTGATATTTTGCTATTTTCTCACCCTTTGACTAATTTTAACACAGACCCATTTATATATATTTTATTTTGTTTTCTGACTCAAACAAAAAACCACGCTTGGGCTTTTTGCTACTTTTAACCCCCATTTCACTCTTTTAACCACCAGGCCCAATATTTTTCACATTCTTTATATTTTCAATCTTATTTATTTATTTATTTATTTTTATTTAACCCAAAAATACAAAAATATATTTTCCTAAATAATTAAATTAAAATTCTTTTAAGCACTTTATTTTATTTTTAGTTTAGTTTTATTTCTTTTATAAATTAACACTAACATTCAAATTATTTTCTAAACAAAATTATTTTAGACTTAGGTTCATTTTCTTCTTAATTTTAATTAATTTAGATTTTAGGTTTTGCTAAATAAAAAATTAACTTTTTTTGTAATTAAATTAGTTAGCTTAATTAGGTTAATTACTAAAACCTTTTTCAATCAAAAAATCTAAAAACAATTTCTTTCTTCCTCTTTACATTTTGTACATTCTATTATTATTCATAATGGTTTGTAATAGATAATTAGGCTTTATTGCTTTCTTCCCCTCCTTCACAAACTTGTACCCCCCATTCTCAAACATTGTAATAGCGTATGACATTTAAATTTTGCAATTTATCGCTTTCCTTATTATTGTTAGTAATTAGGGTTTGCATGACAATACCAAAATCAACCATAGTAAAAACCCTAATTCAAGATAAAATAATTAAATCAAACACAATTTGCACACATGCATCTCTAGGATAATCCTCACTTGTTTCCTCGGATAAAAACAGTCATGTCCCTTGAACGTGAGATGTTTCAGAAGACCCTCAATTAAAATATCGTAGTCCCTCGATGACCCTTCAATGTTGCATTCGGTAAACGATCTTAGTCCCTTACGATAATTGCTAAAACATCTTACAAGTTGCCTTCTATGATTGTGCGATGACACACGCCTGTCCCTCACATCCAAAGATATGGCTCCTTACTAATCATTGGTAAAATAGCACTATCTAAAGAAGGAGGAAAAGAACAAAGATTTTTGAGTAGGTAAATTGCTCGTAATTGCTTGCTCACAAATTAAAACCATTTCCACACCTCACACTTTAAAAAAAAATCTTTTCAAAAACTCTACTTTCAAACAAATATTTTCAAAACAAACATTTTGTATACATTCTCAACGATACGAGAATTTTCCGAACTAAGGTGTTTTCAAAATATTTTTAAAACAAATATTTTGTATATATTCTCAACGATATGTGAATCATTACAAAATCACCACTTTCAAAACATCTTCAAAACATCTTTCAACATACACAAACACAAAGCATTTTTAAGTGATCAAGCAATTAAGAGTTCGTAGATAACTACGGATAAAAAATGTGCTAACACTTTTCTTTTTCATAATTTACCTCTCGAACTCAAGAAAAATTCTCAAAAGGTGTTTCCTGTTCTTTTCACCATTTTCTTTATTGGATAAAAGAAAAGTCGGTGGCGACTCTTATTATCTGTAACATTTACGATAAAACGCAAAATACCAAATCAGTTTAACATACACAGAGTTTTAGCTTGGACAAACATAATGAATGTGACGGTGACGGATGTCGTTGACAGATATCTTTAAGTTCTGATAAAGGGGGACCTGCCATCTTTTGGCTTATTGTTTAATACATCATAGTTCTATTTTCTGATTTTCACTTCTTATTTTATGCCTCTGAATGCCATATTAAAATTATGATCATTTGATTCAATGCTTCTGTATGTAGCCATAGCCAGTAAGTAGGGTGTAATGAATTGGGTTTGGTTGAAATAAGATTGTTAAATTAAGTGTCTCTTTTGGAATTGATCATCTATCCTTAAGTTTTTTTTTTCTGATTATCACTTGCATTAAATTATTGTAGCTATAAGTAATATGGCTGAACTAACAACAATGATCACTGGCTTGAGTTGTGCTTTGCTTTACTTATTATAACATTTAAAGTTAAATTCTCTACTGGACTAGAATCCAAAATATATTGAAAACAACATATATTTGTTGTATTCAATTATTCTATGACTATCAAATATTTACTTTGCATTTTTGTTGACATTACGATTATAATTTTGTGTGTTTCAATGACATTCTGAAGGAGTGTATGTCTGTCTGTTATTATGATCCCTTTTAACGCAACATACAAGGTTTTTGAAGCAGCAGAAGCAGTCAAAAAACAAACATTTTCAGCTAGCTCTCAAGCTGCAACTAGAATGGTTTCTAACAGGTAATTTCAAGAGCTACATTAATTTCAAGAGCTTTTTAACAAAATTTGAGATTTATTCTTAATGGAGGCATGTAGACTTGATACAATTAACAATGCCGATATATACTTATTATATTTACATAGATATAAAAGCAATGTTGCAACTATAACAAAAGACCAAAAACTTTCTCATGTTACCATTTTGCACTTAATAGCAATATAGTCTAATTTAGGTGGTGGTTGGTTTTAACTGAAGTTGTACACAATTTTAAAAGTCATATTATATGAATGTAAATAATTAACTTTTAATAAAAATACTATATTCTATTTAAATATGAATTATATTATAATTATTAATGAGTTATTAATAGTAAATAGATAAATATTTAATTGTATAATTAAAAGAAAATACCATTTTTTTGAAAATAATTGAAAGATACAATCTTTAGTTTATTATTGTATAACTATGTTGACACATAAGTTTATAATAATAAAATCATATTTTTATGCAAAAATGTTTAATTATTGTTATTATATCGGTTAGGCCAACTCAAAATATCAAGTATTTTTATAAAAAATTGGTACACCTATTTATAATGGTTCAATCATATCCAGTAATATAATCAAATTTTTCTTTACAATATAGATTATATAATCATTGCTTATTAAATAGTTAAATTATTTATTTTATATGTACTACTAATAACTTATCCATTAAATAAGGAGGAATTTTCTTCTCTCTCTGGTGGCAATTTCCGTTGACGCATGAATCATTTCCGATACGGTGGTTACGATTACTGACACGGCGGTGCAGGTTCCCGGAGTTGGTTATTCTGGGGGATTCTAGGATTTGAAGTGCTGCGAATTCAATGGTGAGGGGATAAAACCCTAATTCGTTGGATTCGTTGTGTTGTATCTGCAGTGGGTGTACTACCGACTAGAGCAATGGCAAGGATAACAACACGAGTTCAGGGAAAATCAAAGAAGACGAAGAAGAAGAAAGGGCCAGATTCAACGGCTGATGGAAAGAAAACGCGTTTGACAGATGAAATTATGGGAGTGGAACCAATTGATTTCGAATCCATTTCAATTGAGGAAGAAATCCTAACTCATGATGAAGATTCAGAGGCACACATTGAGGCATTCTTGACGGCAACATGGCATTGTTCGCAAAGAATTAAGAAATGTGAAACCCTAAATCCTCCTATCTTGCATCCTATTTCGCAAAATTTGGATGAGAAATTCAAGGAACAGATTGACCTATCAGAGAGGAAAAAGAGCTCAACGAGCAATAAGGTGAAAATTGTTCTTGAAGACATAGAGGATGAAATTGCTTATTGGAAATCGTCCATTGTTTGTTATATGCTAGGTGCAAACCCACCTTTGCAAGTTCTTGAAGGTTTCATAAGACGAATATGGAAGGGGAAATGAGTGAACAAGATTGGATCAATAACCTATGGAGTGTTCATAGTCAGATTTGATTCAATGCAGGAAAGAGATGACATCCTCAATGCTGGGTACGTTTTCTTTGACAACAATCCTCTGATAGCTAAACCTTGGGATCAGGTGACTTACTTTAAGCGTGAGAGCATTCATAATGTTCCCATATGGGTTAGGATTGAAGGGCTTGAGCTGAAGTACTGGGGGGGAGAAATCACTGTTTAAGATAATAGGACAGGTTAGGAAACCCCTTATGACAGATAATGCCACTAAACTCAGAGAGAAGCTGACATTTCCAAGAATCCTGATTGAAGTTTCAATAGAAATAAAGCTACCATACTCTATTCAATTTGAAGATGAACTAGGAAGATGCATAGAAGTGAATATATTGTATGATTGGAAACCTGATTTGTGCCAGCATTGCAAAGGAATGGAGCACAAAACAGAAGATTGCAGGAAAAACAGACCTACTAGAAAACAATGGGTAACCAAAATAGATGATAAGAAAAAGGAAATTCAGGAAGAAAAGAAGCATGATCCCAATGATTTCCAAGTTGTCAATAAACGATGGAGAGGCAGGAATGCAAGGCAAAAAGGACACCCAGAAACTATAATTACCAACACCTTCAATGCTCTATGAGGGACAAATGAGATAGGAGAAAGTTCTAAACAAGATGAAATGGGGGAGACTGGAGGGGAGGGAGACTCCCCTCAACCAAATAGATAGAATTGCATCCTGGAATGTCAGGGGGGCCAATAACCATAGTAAGCAGAGGGATCTTAATCAGTGGATATCTAAAATTGTGGTTGGGCTAGTTGGTCTCCTTGAGACGAGGGTGAAGGCTCAGAAGTTGGGGGGCCTTGTATATGAATACTTTTTCAGGTTGGTGTTTTTCCTCTAACCATGCTTTGCATAAAGGGGGGAGGATAATTATCGGGTGGAATCCCAATGTCTATACTGTGAATATTCTTAGCTGTACAAGTCAGCTGATACACACTATGGTCAACCAAAAAATTCAAAAAGCAATTTTCTTGTTACTTTTGTGTATGGTTTCAATACTGAATCTAGAAGGAATGAGCTTTAGAGGGATCTTATTAATATCAACACAAAAAGTCCTTATATTATCATGGGTGATTTTATGACACTCTGCAGAAGGAAGACATAATTGGTAGCAGAGTGAAGTATTCCAATTCTAATGCATTTCAGAACTGTGTTACTAATTGTCAGCTTGAAGACATAAAGTTTACATGCAACTATTATACTTGGAGTAATAAGCAAACATGGGAGAACATAATATATTCCAAAATTGATAGATGTATGGATAATCAAGAACGGTTGACTGTTTATAAAGATGTAGAGGTCTATTTCCCAAATGAAGGGGTCTTTGATCATGCTCCAGCTATCCTTACCATTTTCCTCTGATTGCATAAGGAAAGAAGCCTTTTAGATACTTCAAGAAGTGGCAGAGTTACCCTAACTTCAAAGATATTCTGAAAGAGGAATGGAATGTTAATATGCAGGGTACTCCTATGTACGTGGTTACTCAGAAAATGAAGCAGCTCAAGCACACCTTCAAAGATATCAATAGGAAAGGATACAACAATATCCAAATTGTAGATTTTGAGGCAAATGTGGAAATGAAGAATTGCCAAAATAATCTGAAAAAAGATCCTCTCAATACAGTTTTGTTGGAGAAAGAAAAGGAAGCTCGTAATAAATACATTGAAGCCCACATGGCCTATAGTATTTCTTGGCCCAAAAATCAAAGGAGATATGGATGAAAGAGGGGGGAGGGGTGACAACACTACTACCTTCCACACAAGTATCAGGCAAAGAAACCAATTGAACATGATATACTAAGTGATAGCCAAGGATGGAGAGTGGATTGATCAACCTAACAAGGTTGTTGAGGAGTTCATGCATTTTTATAAAGAGTTGTTGGGTACTTTAATGGAGAATAGGAAAAATGTCAACAAATCTATGGTGGATAAGGGGAAAAAGCTCACTCAAGTCCATCATGACATCTTGTCTATACCCTATGATAAAAGTAAAGTTAAGGACGCCGTTTTCAGTATCCCTGGTTCTAAAGCCCCAGGCCTTGACGGGTACAATAGCTATTTTCTGCAAGATAATTGGGATATCATTAGTGATGAGGTTAGTAATGCTGTTATATCTTTCTTAAATTCTGGAAAAATCCTGAGAGAGATTAATGCTACTACTATAACTTTGACTCCTAAGAAAACCTGCCCTGATACAGTGAGTGACTACAGGCCTATTGCCTGCTATAACATTCTGTGCAAAACTCCTTCCAAAATTATTTGCAGTAGGCTCATAAATGTCCTGCTAGATATAATAGCTCAAAACCAGGGAGGATTTATTAAAGGGAGATTTATAGCCCATAATATCATGATTTGTCAGGACCTAGTTAAGCTCTATGGGAGAAACAACAAAAAAGCTAACTGCATGATTAAGTTGGACTTGAGGAAAGCTTATGATACTATTGAGTGAGAATTTATAGAAGAGATGCAAGAAGCTCTTAATTTTCCCCATGGTTTCAAAAATATGATTATGCAATGTGTCAAAACCACTAGATATTATTTATTGATCAATGGTTCTATGAATGGATATTTCCAAGCTAGGAGGGGTTTAAGAAAAGGAAATCCTTTGTCCTCCCCTTTTATTTGTCATTGGCATGGAGTATCTCTCGAGGATTATGGAAAAAGTTGGAACTCTAGAGAATTTTAAGTTTTAAGAAAATTATAATGGCCTCAAAGTTAACCATCTAAGCTTTGCTGATGAGGTCATAATGTTCTCCCATGGGGACTTTGTTTCTATTCATTACATGATGCAGGGTGTTGCACCCCAAAATTTTCCCTCATAATTTTACTTTTATCTGGCTTAAGCTTTGCATTTTATATACATCATTTTCACTAGGTCATTTCCATAAAATTCATTCATTCTAGTTCATCAAAGAATTCAACCATGTTCAAATGGAAACATAATTCATATTCATTCATCATTCGAAGTTTATCATTTCAAAATGCAAGCTCAAGTTATCAAGAAATTAAGATTCATTTGGATTCAAAATTCTTCACAATTGAAGTGAAGTGTAGAATTTTCTTCAAGCGTGCAATAAGTTATCAAGTTTCATCCACAAGTTTTAACATTCAAAGATTACAAGTGTATTCAATATTCATCAAGTTCATTCATCAATTTCCATTTTTGAATGCTTTGGATACAAGAAAAGGATTACATTTCAAATAAAATAAAATTCATGTTGTGGAATCCAAAATCACATTCTATTGAAGTTCTAAGGTTACAAAGAAGAATTAATTTGTGCTCATAATTCCAAATTACATCACAAGAATTTCAATACTTATATGCCTATTTTTCTATCACCAAGCCTACAATGTCACAAGAGTTTTCACGTCAATCCTCCCAAACCTACAAGTTTTATTCAAAATGTCAATGTCATCCAAGTTTTCATACAAGCTTACAAGTTCTATTTTACATTACTTTGGAACAAAAAGTCAAAACATTACTACAAGCATGTCCAAATTTCCTAATTCCTAATCTAAACTACCAAGCTTTGATTTCCTTTTTGAATGACCAATCCACTTTGGCAATTTGATAACTTTTCCTTCTCCAAAACTTGCACAAAATAAACAAAAGCATTGCTGTCCACATGCTCCAAAACCTGCAAAAATTCAGCCAAACTAGTTACCAACCAAAACAGTCTTGCTGCCCCTGTACATACATGCATACCAGTCCAAAGCCAACCCTGCATACAACAGTCCAAAACTTGTCAAATTTACACCAAAATGGCAAGACAATTCCTGCATTAGAAAAACAACAAAAACATTACCGATTTAGTTCAAATTCATCACTTTGTGGCTCCAATTTCCCCCCAATTTGCACCCTTTCTCATCTATAAAAACAACTCTCTAACCTCTCCTCAAGGAACCAACAACTAACTTAAGAAAATTCTCCTCCAAACCTTTTCTCATACTCCCTACATAAAACCAGAAAATTCTGTTAAAAAAAACGTACACAAAAATTCATCTGAAAAATCTCATCATCCTCCTTTACAAAATCCCTTCAGAAATCGAAAAAAAAAACATAAGAAAATCCACAAAAAAACGATTCACACAGAAATACAGACATCAACAACTCACTCCATAAACCAAATGCAGCGAACTCAAATCTAAACACGAGAAGATAACAAAGGAATAGAAGCAAATTTCATACAAGTCAGAAGGTTTGAAAGAGAAGATTACCTGCACCGACGATAAAGCCTTGTCCGAAGGTTTCCGATAGGTAATATCTCTGGAAACTCGTGGCTTAATGCTCGTTCTGTAATTTCTATTCCTTGAATCTGTGTATCTTTTTTTAGATGGTTGTGAAAAGCTGAATTGAGGCATTTTTGTTGCTGTGGCTTGATGAGAAATTGAGATTAGATATTGTTGTTATTCTGTTTGTAGAGATCGGGCGTGAGTGAGAGAGTAATCCAGAGGTAAATATTTGGTTGTTGTTGTTTTAGATAAGGAAAATATGAGGGATAACCAAGTGATAACAGAGGAAGTTTGTTTCTGGCCGAAGAAGAAGAAGGTTGAAGCATAGAAACAAGCGTTTGAGAGATGATGAGAAACTGTGGGATAAGTGAGAGAGAAAGATGTGAAGAGAAAGAGAGGGAGTCGGTTGAGAGATTGTGAAGCAGAAAGATGAGAGAGAGAATGAACTATTTGTGTGTGAGAGAGAGTTTCTTTTGTTTTATTTACAATTAATTAGGGGTTAAAAAATTAATTATAACTTTCCCTTTTCCCAATACCTAGCGGCGCCTCTTTCCCCTCAATTAGAGTTTCAAGAACCCTCTCTATTCCCTCTAGTTGGATCTGGGTTCTAGGCTTTAGTTTTAAACCCAACCTAGTTAGCTTTATCCTCTTATATTCTTTGAAGCATAGATATAATGGAAAACAAACATAGTCTAGCGGTAAGGCAGGCATGAGGAGAAGCTGAGGGTGTGGGTTTGATACCCACCCCTGGCACTTTTTTATTTATTATTCTGCATATTTTTCAGGTACAAGAAGCATCCCAAGAAGATTTACAGAGTTTGACATGTTGCTAGACACTGAAGTAAACTTTGAAGGAGAAGTTATTCAGTGTGCAATGTTAGTATGAACCCGTGAGTACGAAAGAGGCTCTTAAGCAACAAGTTTGGTTACAGGCCATGAAAGAAGAACTTGGTGCTATAGAGAGAAAAAGGACTTGGAAGCTGACAAAACTTCCAAAAGGAAAGAAATCCATCAGCGTCAGATGGGTTTTCAAGCAGAAGTTAAAGCCAGATGGATCAATTGGCAAACACAAAGCGATATTAGTAGCAAGAGGCTTCCTACAGAAGCCTGGGCTGGATTACTTTGAAGTGTTTCCACCTGTAGCGAGACATGAAACAATCAGACTAGTGATTGCAATAGCTGCTAATAGGAATTGGCCTCTGATGCATTTAGATGTAAAATATGCATTTCTGAATGGTCCATTACAAGAAGAGGTGTACGTTTCATAACCTCCTGGATTTGAGAAAAAGAATCAGGAAGGGATGGTGTTCAAATTACACAAAGCATTGTATGGAATTTGTATTAAGAGTGGTAGTATCGAATATATTTTCAAGGACTCAAAATAGTCTAAGTGGGAGAGAGTTGTAACGCCCGTTAATTTAATTAATTATTTAATTAAATTAATTATGGATTAATGGTTGAGAATGTTGTTGAAATTGTTGAAGTTGCGAAATATCGAGAAATGTTAATTTAAGGGACTAAGTTGTTATTTGGTTGATTAATATTAGCAATAATATTAATAATAACATTAGAATGGTTATAAGATTTATTATTGGGCATAATTATATGGTCGCATGTAGTAAAAGTGGAGTATGAAAGTTAGGCCCAATAACAATATTAATAATTATAAAGTTAAGCTAATTATAAGGAATTAGGTTATTAAACAACTCTTTGAGTATTTTGTGGTGAACGTGAGAAGTTGCAGAATTGTAGAAAAGAGGAAAAGAGGCAAAAGTGGAAACTTCGGCAAGGCTAGTTTCGATCGAAGAATTATAGGACGGTCTCCAATCCAAGGTAAGGGTGGGGTTCTTGCTCTATAACTGAGTATATGTAAATGATATGTGGGGTTGGTTATATGAAATTATCGTGTGTGATTCTGTGTAAAAAGTTATTGTTTTATTGCTACTGCAATGTTGTGTTTCCTGATAAAGTTGTAGAAAGTCAATTGATGACTCTGTTATTGGAGAATTATTCTATGTTGATGTTGGTGTAATTATTGTATTATTATAATTATATATTGCGTTAGTTGGATTGAAATACTTCTAATTGAAGGAATTATGGAGGAACACCGAAAATTCCAAAAAACTGCGTTGAAGAACCAAAGTGTGACGGGCGGCACGACAAGCCTGTGATGAGCGACACAAGTAATGGGAAGGGCCATGCCGATCGGCAGGGATGGTGGCAAGGTGGGTGTTGATCGGCACCATGGTATGAAGGGGGTGTTCCGATCGGAACACATGTGTGATGACCGCCAGGCATATATATATATATATATATATATATATATATATATATATATATATATATATATATATATATATATATATATATATATATATATATATATATATATATATATATATATATATATATATATATATATATATATATATATATATATATATATATATATATATATATATATATATATATATATATATATATATATATATATATATATATATATATCTTCGTCTTCTTTTGTTTGTTGTGACGATAAGCATAGTTTGGATATTCCAATTTGTTTTATAATACGTTACCACTAGTACCCTTAGAAAGGTAAAAGTAGTTTATTATTATTCTTTTATAGTGTGATGATAGGCATGGTTATTAAGTTGATAGGCATGGTTTTCTTGTGATGATAGGCATGCTATTGGTGATGATAGGCATGAGAAATGTGACGATAGGCACATGGTGTTTCTCTAAGAATTTAGTGCTTCTGGCACAAGATTGTAAATTAAGGCTTAGCATAAGTACATACCATAATTTAATTAGTTAGTTAAGTTAAAAATTATAGACTTAGTGAGTTTAAAGTAGTATATAATTATATATGTAGCCCAAAATAAAGTAGTAGAAAACTTGATATGTATATATACTATTAGTATAGTAAACTTAGCAGGAATAGTAGCAAGTTTATTAAGTAGTCCAAAATTAATTTGCAGAGTAGTAAATTAGTAGAGTTGTTTTAGTAGCAGTAACTAATAGAGTATTAATACATAGCAGAATTGGTTTATAATGGAGATGGTTAGTATAACAATCATAGAGTTGATGTTTAACAGAGTTAATTAGTTGGATACCTTAGCAGCAGTAACAAAGTTAATTTAATAGAGTTGATAAACGTATAAAGTAGAAATAATGGAACATTTAGCCTGTAAATAATTAGCAGGATTTAGTTGATTTGTCGAATAATTGTACGGAATATTTGTTGTATATTTTAGTCGATACGGTATGTTGAATACTTGGCTGGAAAATATGAATTGCAGGTGGTATTGAATTGTTAGGCTTATGGCCAATGTTGTTTTCTTGTTGATGTTGTTGTCAAATTACTTTTGTTGTTGTGACGTACTAAGTTGTAGGCTTATGTCAACGTTGTGTTAATAGTTGATGTTGAAATATCAAGTTGTAGGCCTATGGCCAAAGTTGAATTATGTTGAGTTGATGTTGAATCATTGATTAATATGGTAGGATTATGGCCAATGTTGATTTATGTTGAGTTGTTGTGTTGTTGTGATTGTCTCTGTGAATTCTTGTTGATAATGCGAAGTTGCAGAGAATTTTAAATGATGATGAATTACCTCTATTTACTGGTAATAATGGTGATGTAGGCTTATGCCTTGCGATGGATGATGATTGTTGTGAGTATGTTATAGTGCATTCATTTATTCAAATACATTTGCATACTCTGTGATGTCCTGGATTGGCAAACTGCGAAGAAGGCTTATGCCTTATTGGTGCCTCTATTAATTGGCAGTTTTAAGATGGGAGTTCTGTTCCGTTTTTAAGTTAGGAGTTCTACTCCAATGGTACCACATGCATGTGTATTGTAATTGAGTCTCAATTGATGTTGCATCTTGAGTTGCGGTGATGATATATTTGTTGTTGCTTTATGTAGTTGACTTGTTGTGACAGGTACTATTTAAAATCTGTGAATTAGTAGTTATATCGTGTTGATGTTTTGTTGTGATTAAAGTTGTTTATAAGTTGTGAAGTGGTGATTTTATATGATATGATCTAATATATTATTTATCACATGACTTATTATATAGTTCAATATCTCACCTCTTTTGTTTGAATTTTTCCCTCTGTTGGTAACGTGCAGGTAATCAAGAAGAATAGTTGTTACCTTCATCAGTTTGAGTAAGTGTTGTTGCTCTGATACGTAGCACTCGGGGGGATGAACGCTTGATGTTTACTTGTTGATTATTATTTCAGTTGCTAAATTTTTAAGTTGGTTACGTGAAATAATTTTTGTCTTGAAGTTGTTTTAGTTGAATGAAATATGTTAAGTGAATTGAAGTTGAGTATGTATATTCTGCTGCTTATAAATAAAACGTTTGATTTTAAAGAATAAATCTGGCTGTTATCGATTCATCCGAATTAAGTGTTATGTACCTGTTTTATATGCGATTAAATGAAGTTTGATTTTAAGTTGTAAATGTAGCATCCTATTTATGTTGAACTCTGATTTTATTCTTATCCACTGGGTAGAAATGGGGTGTTACGCCAACTCTCAATCCACTCGTGTGTTTTCCCTTTTTATCATTCAAACATCATCTATACATCATATAGAAGTTGTTGAAGCACTCAAACAACTTCTGGAACACCTCCATCATCATCATCCAAACCTCGCTTTCACCATTTGTAACTTGACTTGGTTGGAAAGTTTCAGAGGGTTCTAAGGCAAGCTGAGCATATCATTAGCTTCCTGGGAGTTCAAGGATGCTTTATGCACCATTACATTATCCCTGGCAGTGGTGGAACGAGTTATGAGTTTTGTTTTAAGAGGTAAGTTTTCTTGACTTTCAAAACTCCATATACATGCATCATTTGCTTTCAATTTCAAAAGACAAAATGTAGATATGATTGCCCTGAAACTAACCATGTCCTTAGTTTTCATTTATTTTGTTTGTGTGTTGAGAATTTTGCCTCTGAATCGTTAGGGTTCATTTTTTGTACCAACAGAAATTCTTGCATATCTTTGAGTGTTGGTTAAAATAAGTTATATGGTTGAATTTGTGATTAAATTTCAAGCAAGTTTGGTGTTTACCCTTTTCAAAAAGGTAGAGAAATGAAGCTTTTAGAAATTGACA